GAGTTCTGAGGCCTGCTGGGATTTACTAGGGGGTGTTTGGTTAAAGAACAACCAAGATAGATAGAGACTGCGTGTACAGGGCTACCCTGACCCAGGTTTGGAGTGGAAGTTTACAATTCTTGAACACCAGCAGCCTGAAAAGGCACTAGTTCTTTGAAAGCACTTCTGGACTCTTACTTTGGTAGGGAGACCTGGGGACCGCCCAGAGAGGAAAGGACCTGGCCAAAGTGCCCAGGTTGAAAAAAGCAGCACAGGCCCCCACCTCTTCCCTCCTCTGGCCTCTGCCCCCAGACACAGAGCAGAGGGGCCGGCTAGGGGCAGGGTGTTAGCTCCGCAGAGCCTGTAGCGAGCATCCTTCGGGCTGGAACATTATTTATGCTCACAGCCCGCTCTGATGACATATGTAAGTTGACAGCGAACATCCTATCAACTTGCTGGAGTGTATCTTGATTGTTAAAACACACTCTTAAAGGTGTACCATCATTTATCAAATTAAAATAGCCACGGTTTGTTCCTTTCCTCTCTCCTCCTCCTCCAGCCTTCTGTCCTCCTATCCTACACCAAGGCCCAGCTCCTGGGGGATAATGCCCCTGCTCCCAAGGACCCTGGGCTGCCCTTAACCAAAACCGAAGCCTATTGTTGTCAAGCGGAGTCCACTAGGACAGAGGAGAATTGCCCCGTAGGGCTCGCAAGGCTGTAAATCTTTCTGAATCTTTCTCTCTTGGAGTGGCTGGTGAATTCGAACCGCTGACCTTTCGGTTAGCATCTGAGTACTTAACCACTGTGCCACCAGGGATCCTTTCACCCCACCCTAGGCAAGGGCAAACCCACTAATGGCCAAAAAATGACAAACGCCAGAAGCCTCACCAATTAAATTTAAACTCATGCAAAGCTCACTGGCTAGTAAATTATTATTTTTATTAGCTTGAACCAAGTTCCCGTAAGGGAGAAAGTCAACTTGCTCCCATGAATGGCTCTTGTATAATTTATTTAACTCCGTGCTCTTTGCCAAAGCCTGGAATATTTTTAGCTCGTTCTGTTGTTGGATTTGGCTTTTTTATGTGTGTTTCGGAGGGATATTTTTAGACTCCTCCATGTTATCCTAGCAGCCTCCTATGTGTTTGGTCCTGCCTGTGCGGGCTGCACTGAAGCCTGTCTCCAAGTGAGACGAGGGGGATTTCTAAGAATAACCGGGAAGCATTTGGGGTGTGTGTGTGTGTTTTCCAGGGGAGATAGGATATCTTCTTCGCAAAGTAGCTCCCTGCCTCCCTCGCTAATTTGCTTTATTACTCAGACGACCTGAATATTCCTATAGAAAATAGAAAATGCAGTGTCTCCGTACAGCAATAGACATGATGGCAGTTCACACCGTGCCGGGGGAAAAAAAAAAACCACAACCCATATTCCAAAAAAAAAAAACCAAAACGGGCTCTGATTGGGCAGGCGGGGTGAGCCGCAGCCAGACCGTCTACACGGCCACCAGATTCCCTCAGCTCCCAGCTCGTTGGCGGTTTTTGATGTCCTCGCACTCCGCTCCGTCACTTATGAGCAGGATGAGTAGGCTCTTCCGAAAGTAACTCTTTTCACACCTACTTAATGTTGGTAACTGTTGCAGAAACACTGTCTTGTGGTGGAGTTAATGAGGTCTTTACGAAAATGTATTTTTTTCCCTTTACAAAAAAATATCACGTGACAAGGGAGGGAAACTTTCTATGGGGTCTTTTCACACTAGGAAATTATCTTTTTTTTTCCCCCCCTCTCTACTGGATTTTTTTTTTTCGGGGGGGGTGTTTGCGGGGGATGGTGATCGGAAATATTTTGTATGGGAAGGAAGTTTGCTGTTCTTCCATCAGACAGCGGGCCTCCCAGTGCATCCCAAACCAACCCCACCCCTGGCCCCTCTGACTGGGACTGTTTACACCCCCAAAAGGATAAAAGGATGGGGCAGGGAGGGGTCTCAGGACTTCCGAGTTGCTGCCAGAATACTCAAACCCAGACTTTGAACAACACCAGGCAGAGAAGGCCCAGGGCACAGACTGACTAGCCAGGGGAGGGGGGAAGAGACGACGCCCAGCCACTAGGCAGTACTGGGAGGCCCTGTGTCTGGGCTTCCCCCGGGCGGGCTGCCTCCTTATTCAGCCGCTTGGCGAACTGCAAGATTCCCCCATCGCTCGAGGCAGTAGCACTGATGAAAAATCTTGGGCTGGTTCGTTGTTGATTTTCCTTCCCCCCCCCCCTAGATTTCACAGCTTTGCCTCCGGACCATCTGTATTAGAGACAAAATCTAACAGTGCTCTAAAAATAATGATTCCAAACATTTTAATTACACCTTTCGGTGAGAAGGTTACTGTAACAGCACTTTGCCATAAAACCCTACAGCCCGATTATAAAGCTATCAGCACTTTCAGTTTTAGAAAGACAATGGAGTCCTGCTTTCCCCATGGGGGTCCCTTGAGCTGACATCTTGAAAGTACAGGGTGGGGACCAGGCTGGGCAGTAGCCCGGGCGTCAGGCTAGGAGACCCTCCGACCAGTGAGAAAACGCTTGAGCAGCCAGGGACGAGGCAGCGCCTTGGAAACCAAGCATTCATTCCCCACCTCATATAAAACTTATACGGGGGACAAGGGACCTTTTCCTTTCTGCTGGGCAGTGGGTGGACGGAAGGGCGGAGGTGGCTGGACCTCTGCAGACTCCGACTAGCTGCTGAAATGGGGAGAAAGTCCTTCAAAGCGGTTGTTTGAAATTGGGCACGTGCAAATACAACAACAACAAAACTTGCTTCTGCTGTTCCTCTTCCTACACTGAATCACAGAGCAACACAGGCCAAAACACCGTGATCTGGGATATGATTCCTTTTCGTAAAAAATTTTTATAAACCGGCTTTCCAAAACCTCAAGGCGCTCAGCTACTATGATGGTCTTTGCTAGGCAGCTCAGCAGGGTTTATCTGCAGAAAGGGCACAATGGGGCCTCTGCTCCCCCAGAGGGTTGGAAGCTACCCTCATCTAGGGCAACCTGTGCGTGGAAGAGTGGGCAGGGGTTGGGGGGGCATGGCCAGTGCAACGTCCCACTCCTCTCTGGAGCCTACACTCCAAGAAACACGTGGACAAACTTGGAATGAGCAAGACAAAGGTTCCACCCGGCCACCTGACTCTGTGGCACCTGGGTCTGGAAATGCTGGCAGGAAGGGGGCCATGGAGGCCCAAGCAGACCCAGCCCTGGCCGCTGTGACTGGCGAGTAAGCAAGGGACACTGCCTGCCTGACTGGGCAGGAGGACACAGCCCAGCTCCTGATGGAAAACAGAGATGCTGGAGTCAGAGTGGGACAGCCTGCCAGGTTACAGGGCACACAGGGGTGGGGGAGATCCTTCCTTCCCACTCCCCCTTTGCAGGCTCAGACTTGCCCCTCCTCACCCCCAGCAAGGGCCACCAGGCCAGCAACCAGGAGAAGGGCTGGCCTGGAAGCAGAGCCCTGGCCCTGCAGCCCTCAGGAGCTCTCCTTGCCCCCACCCTTCTACCCCCAGTCTGGGCTGAGCTGGGCAGCATCTCTATTGAAGGGCAGAAAGAGACAGCAGGAGAGAGATTTTAAAAGCACCAATTGCTCAATCAAGTACTTTTTCTCTCTCTTTCGAGGGTTATATATCAGAGAAGAGAAGAAACGAAGGTAGAGGCGGAGGGAAGGAGGTGAAGCAAGCCTGAGGTGGTCAGGAAGCAGCGGGAGCAGGTCTGGGCCTGGGCGGAGTACAAGGCCACAGCAGGGCCGACTCCAGATTTGGGGAATCGCCTCCTGTTGTAAATGCTAAAAGCCCAATAGTCACTAAACAACGCAGAGCTGTACTGTTGGGTATGTTTTTCTTTTAGGAATTTTATGTTTTCCTTTTTGATATTTCTCTTATGTTTTTCCTACCTGACAATATCTCTTCAAATCCTGTCGCTGCCTTTTTAATCCACACGTGCTAATTGTAATCCCATTAAAACAGATATAATTTGATTAGTATTCACAGTTCATCGAGTTAGCAATAATAGCTGTTAGTGCCAAATTTAAAAGAAAAACAAAATACTGCAAACAACGCTGCTGATGTTTAAAACAAGATGTAAACAAAAGCCAGGGGACCTGCCAGGATGACCCGGGAGTCCCCAATATCATCATGAAAACTGCCCCAAACCTGTGTCACTGACCCAGCCAGGGTCATGTTGGTCTGGGTGAGCCAGCTGCCCGTCTCGCCAGCCTCCAGCGGCCGCTACCTTACTTCTAACTTTGCTCAAAATGAATCGCCATCCCACCAAAAACAAAGCTGCTCTCTAGGCCTGGGGCACCGTGGCGATTCAGAGGATGGCCACGCGCCCGCACGCCAGAGGCCCAAGCCCAGGACTCCCGGCTTTCTCCTCCAGGAGAAAATTTGCGCGCACTCGCCTGCACCGAAGTCGGAGCACGGCCCTGCGCCACTCCCTCCCGAGCCCGGGGCTCCTGGGTCCCAAGGCGACAAAGCCCGGCAGCATTGGCCACGCTTTGTCCGCGTTAGCAGGATACCAGAGGCTCTTGTTGAGGCCAATGCATCCCTGCAAACCCATTCTCACCCTGACACTTCAAGGCTTTATATAGAAACATAACTTGCTCGCCTTACACCGCCAGTCGCTATTAACGCGCGCCTGGCGATCACCGCCAAATCCGCGGGGCCACGGCCCCCGCCCCTTAGCCCACAACGGCCGTTTTGTTCCCGCAGAAAGCTCCTCCTTGTCCCAGTCTGGAGCGGCGCAAGGCGCTGAATGCAGAAAAGAACTCGCCACGGAATTTTGTGCTTCGGCAGAGGAGGGGGGCGGCGCTGAGGGGGAAGGCTTTATTTTTAGCGGCCTCAGGGCTGTCCCTCCGAGACCCGCGGGGACCCCGGGGAAGGCCGCCTGCAAGGGGGGGGGGTCGCAAGAGCCAGGCTTAAGCTCCTTGCGAACCCTGTCCTCGTGGTCCTCCCGAACGATCCACCCTGCGCTGGGCACGGTACTGACCTGTGTGCGAAGCCATGGGCAGCGGTGACGGGAAGTACTTCCCGGGCTGGAAGTGGGCCGGGGGCTGCGCGGAGGGTCC